CCCCCCCGTGTGCTTCTGTTCCAGTATCTCCTCGATGTCCGATGATGTTGGTGGGCAAGCCCCGCCCCCCTCGTGCGGAGCTGACTTTGAGGGCAGGGGCGAGGCCTCAACCTAAAAATATGAATGTAAAATGAAGTACAGCTGCATTATGGTAGACTCGGAAAATCCCTTTGAGCATTTCGTCGAAAGCCTCGAGATCCAGGGACCAGGATGCTCTTTGTCCTCGTTAGAGAAGCCATTCATTCGGCTTACTGGCAAGGTTTTTTTTTTTGTTTTTTTTGTCCCACGACTGCCCGCCACTGCCGTGTTCCCATCGCGACACACGTCACTCGTCAAGCAAAACTGCATTCGGTGCCATCTGACAACTACTCCTCCGGCTGTGCTTGAGATGCGAGTGTTTTCCTGTCTTTTGTCGGGCACCGCCTGACAAAGATCGACAAAGTTCTGAACTTTTTTGGGGGGGTGGGGGGAGGGGCATTCCGAAAAAAGAAAAACATCTTTTCACTTTGAATTGAAAAAAACGTAAGTGCTGGTGGCCGTGAACTCAAATCACTCATTTCACAACGAGCAGCAGTTTAGCAAATAGTGAAAACGAGGATTCAAGATGTGAAAAGCCAGCACCAAACTCTAAATCTCAAATGAAGATTTCCACACATGCGTAAAGCCAGATGATATCATCAGGCAGATCTCGATAGTCTTGACGCTCTGTCAAGATGGACTCCTATGACTGCGACTTCCCGAGAAGCGGTCGCCGCTGCACTGGCGAAACGCTCGACGACGAGGAGAAATCTCTCATGTCATTTGGAGTACCACTCAAATCCCGTGAATAACACACACCCGTGTAGAAAAAGCAGACTTTTGGGCTTTTCTTGTGTGCTTGTGTATCCATCCTACGGTTGCCCCAGTTGGCCTTTTTTGCGCAGCGTGAATCGAAGCATACCGATCACAGTAGAAGTGCATTTCTTGACAAAAGAGAGGAAATGCAATGCCGCCCCTCCCCCACCCCCGCCCCCTTCCAAACTCCCTACTTGGAGTCGATGGAGTAAACAGTTTGAATGGAGTCAGGGTATTGCGTTTCGAGAAAAT